ATCTGCGACTCAACCCGTTAATATTTCCAGAATCCACGAGTGTGATTCGCTAATGAGAGAAATCTATCAGTTCCCACCTTGTCCTTTGTCGACATACAGTCGTTATCGCTAAACTCAGACGAGGCGTGCCGACTCGGGTTGGGTTTTCGCTTGCTTCAGCTCGTTTCCTTCCACTCATTGGAAGCCTGAAACCGCAACAATCGATGGGAAACATGCTGGCATCACGCCAAAACGCTCCTCCCGCTGCCACGCCCCGAGTGACTTTTGTGGTAGCGACCATCTACACTTCCTCGCGAAGTATTCCGAATCGTGGATTCTGTTGAGTCGAATTCGCAAAGTATGAACACAACGTGAATCCTTCTTATCCATTTGCAGTGTTTTTTACAGGTCAAGCGAAGAAAGGAGTCTCTTCACTGCTCGTGTAATAAGCTTACTGGTAAAAATGCTCACATCTCCAGGTTTGGAAGTTTCAGTTAGATTACGAGTGGTGTGCTTGCGAAGACAAAACATTTCAGGCAAATATAAGCTCAATCCTGCTGATCTTCAAATGGATTTTGTAGATCGGATGATGCGTTCAACACACAGTCACCATGTTCTCCGAGAGTCACTTCGATTACTTACAGCCGCAGTACGATTATCACCTGTAAGTTATCGTTATCTTTGATAGCGATTTCATCGTCATTTCCTGTTTGTAGCGTCGGCTGCGTTCATACTTATCGCCTCAGGCCAACCAGTCTCGCGATTTGGGCTCCGCTGCGACGGCGCTTCGCGAAGTATGAACGCGCTTTCTTCATGCGCTTTTCTTAAAATGGAAAGAAGTTTTTTGTGATACATATCTGCATGAAAGGTGCGAGAAGATACGCTTATTAGCTGCGGTGCGGTGAAAAGCAGCGGTACAAGAGGCGTAACGTACACACCTGCTGCGGTGTATCTAGTCAACTAGCTACAATTTCCTAACTAGTTTGCACGTCGCCGCACAGTGGTATGTAACGTCCTGCACGTTTTCATGACTTATTCCATGCCTCAGTAATTTTACCTTTCTCGTCTTTCATTTTCTCTGTTTGCAGTCCACCGTAACATCTCACGTGATGTCAGTTTTCACGTTCATGGGAAGTGGACTATTTCGTAAGGACAACGAACTAACCTTGAAAATAATCGAGGACACAATAGAGGCTCTATTCCTTGCTATTTGTGAGGAAGATGGAAAGGTTGGTTTCCGTACATTGAACAGTTCGCATGGGTCGCTTTTTCATTGTGATATTCCAGACACTGCCAACTGAGATGCGTATTCGTCTTGCAAATGTGACGCGTATTCTCGCTGCTTCAACATGCGATATTCCTGCACATCGGCGATCGCGTATGGCCCATGCCATTGGTCGTGCCGTTAAACATATTAACGTGTGGATTGTGGCTGGCGTCCTTGTTGAACAGTGAGTCTTTGTCTCCGCAGCATCGCTGTAAATTGTAGTTTGGGTGACATGATCATAGTCTGGTGTGTTTGACGAAGCCTTGAAGTCACATCGCATACTCACCTCCGAGTATGGTCCTTTACGTGTGCGAGATGAAAGGGTCCGCAGTTGCAGAAGCGAGGCACTTTTTCCTCTCAGAAGTGAACGGGAGCGCAGCACTGGTTTCGATACCAAGGATCCCGCAGCAAACAGCAGTCAGCGGTAGAGGACAACCAGAAGGAGAGCGAAAGTACAGAAAGGTCACAGAGCCAGACGTTATAAAAATAAATTTTCATATCATGTCTACGCTGGAAAAAAGGCGTGGCTAACAGGGGACGGAAATGGGACTTGTGGCGGCGTCTAGCGCGTCTGGTGAAATAACCATCCTGTTCAAAAAAAAGAGGTAATTTTGGTTTGAAAAGTATTGAATCTGATTTGACAAATGGTGATTTCGAAGTATTAATGGTATGTTGTGGGCTGACTCGGGAAACATTATACTGTTGCTATCTTTTGGATGTTTCAGCTTTTGCTCAAGGTGGCAACGCTCAGCAGCGGATGCAGCAAAACGGTCAGCGGAGCAGGACGCGTTCGATGACTTCGCTCTCGAACTTTGTGCAGGTCTTGACCCTGTATATCAAGTGAGTAGTTCACAGGGTTGCGCTCTTTCAATGAACGAGTTTCTTTATTTTTCAGTTTTCTGCAATCACAGACCTTGTAAACTTTATTGTGAGACTTGGTGGTGATCAGCTGACTCATACGCAAGAAGAAGCACTTGATAAAGCAGTTTTTGACAGGTTTTTTTTAGTTTTCTTTTGACAGCTGCTCCTCAGATCACTTGCGCCATATTCAGGAACAAGTATTCGCTACCAAAGCTTCGACACTTCCGCTTCATGGTTTTGGGCCTTGTTATCAGAATCCTCAGTAATCGGCAATTATTTGAGAAGGTGCTGTCAAAAGAAAACTAAAAAAAACCTGTCAAAAACTGCTTTATCAAGTGCTTCTTCTTGCGTATGAGTCAGCTGATCACCACCAAGTCTCACAATAAAGTTTACAAG